CATTTTTAAGAAATTAGTTTTAAACGTTCAAAAATCGGATTATAATTAAATAAATAAAAAATATTTTGGAAGAATATTTTCTCGTTCACGTTAATTCCACTTCAACGGACATACATTTTTGGTTCTCCTATAATCCTATTAAAGAAACGTTCGAATGTTCAAGCTTCAAAGTCAAGCTGCCGGTTTCAAGAATATGTGCGCTGTACATGGAGCGAGATTTACCTAGTGTGCACTCACGGGATAACGGATGCGGGTTCCACGTCAACAAAAAAAAAAAAAACATATAATGTGAGATGCTCTATGACTAGGAAATTGATATTTAACATTTGGATGCTGTGAGTAAATTAAATTTGTTTATAAGTTGGTATTTGTAAATATGTTTGAATAAATTATATTTTATTTATAATAAAAACTTATTAAGTATAGTAAAATAAGAAATATTGTCATAAGTAACTTATTTGATTAACAAAGAACCTATTTACTTGAAACAAACTTATTTATTTATAAAAAAAATTTACGCTTACCCAAACAATGGAGAGGAAAATTTAATAAAATCCCATGAGTTAATATTTTCAACCGATAATCTAAGAAACTCTAGCACTATGCTTGTTTAACTCAATCAAATGTCTATTTTCTTAAGTTGAACGTGTTTTCAGAGGAAAAAAGTAACGCAGAAGATAAAAAGTCATATATAACCATGTTAATTTGATTTTTTAACTTGCAAAAAAAGACCTTTTGTACAAAAGATTAAAAATTTATACTTTTCAATTTAATCTAAAAGATAAAGTCCCATTTTACAAAACAAAATGATCTTTTTTGGACCCATCACCTATTGATAAAAGAAGATAATAATAGTACACAGTCTCCTTTAGATACATCATGCAGAGACAGTGCATTAATAATTGGCATTAATATCTTGATACTATATTGCCAAAATTATCTTCCCATGTGACCTATTTAATAATTGCCATTTTAATCTAATTAATGTTTGATGCAGTGTAAGCCTTTTCTTAGCATTCTTCTCTAATTTCTCTCTCTACTCCCTTCTTCTATCTCTCGCGCCTCCCCTCCTCTTCCCCCATTCTTTTCCTCTCTCACGCTCGCTGTCGGAGACGACCGTCTACTGTCGGAGACCACCTCCCAGAGCACCCACGCCACCGTACTTTCCCCCCCATAGATTACAATAATTATGGATTTCCCGGAAGTACAAATCCTGACTCGTTGCGCTTTCAGTTTGATTGAATGTTTGAGAATCAGTCTGTTCCAGAGGCTTTGGAAGTTTATGTGCCTCCTGGGTTGAATGTATACTCCCATGAACCTGATACTATAGATGCATGTCCTCTTTTCGATTTTTAAGCCCTTTATGGATGGAAATTGATGTTTTTTTTAAATAATATATAGGTAGAGTATGTGTTGAGTTTTTATCTTTTTAGCATCTGGTTTGGTGGTGTTGGTGTTGGAAGTGGGGTGTTGGTTAATTTGTGACCAACCATTTTGTTATCTGTGACCTAAAAATTATATAATATGTGATCGTAAAAGAATCTGTGACCTGCAAATAAACTGTAACCGAAAATTAATTTTTAACTAATTAATTAGATATCTGTGACCAAATTACACATAATTGTGACCTTAACAATTGCCGGAATCAGAGCAATCGTTGAAACTAAGCTGCGGCATAACGGTCACCGGAATAATCGTCGGAATTAAGAGCGGTCGAGGAACAGTCGTCGAAGCAGTAGGGGTGGTGGAGGTGGGGTGGATTAATTATATTATATTACAATTAAATATTTAATTAATTAATAAATACCCGATTTTTACAAGTTTGAAACTTAACACCTGATTTTTGCAATTGTCAAAGTTAATACCTGATTTGTGAACTCTTCTCAAAGTAAAATTCGTGATGTCTTACTCTTTTTAAGTTGAATCTTGTTTCAAACGAGAGTTGTCATGATCTTGTTGGGTCCGATTCGAATAGAATTGGGCCGAATCAAGTATCAATGAGAAGTTCATGCTTAAAATCAAATGAGTTTTTGTATGTAATGGGAATTGGATCGGACTAGAATTACTTCAACGTAATCTTGCTCTTTCCAAACTTTGGATATAAATTATAAAGTGTTAATTGATTATGTATCTAAATAAGGGCTTCTTCGATGCCCCTTTTTTAACAAAAAATACATTTTGCAATAGTGTTATGATGAAGAATGTGTGGTTAAAAAATAAGGAAATATTTTGGGTTTACGTATAATATTATTTTATTGAAAAATATATGGTTACAACGGAGTCAAATCATTGTTCGAAAAATGCATTTTGATAGAAAAATGGGGCTCCAACAAAGGATAAGACTCGGAACCAGTTTAATTTTATCTGACAAACGGATTATATATTTCAATTATGATGTTTCGAAAAGATTTAGCTACTGTCAGAGTCAAAGTTGTCTACACCTTTT